AAGTTCCACATTTTTGGGAAAACTATTTGGACATTCAAATGAGACTTTTATATTTTAATTTGGTCTTATAATATCAACTTTATTATATTTGGAGCATTTTTAATATATTTGGCATTACATAAGTTAACTTTATCAGTTACCCATCGAAACAAGGTTTTCTAAACTATAACTTGGGAATTAAGCCAGATGAATTCTAATTAACATGACTAGATCCTAATAAAATATAGTTCTAAATTTAGAAACCCTATAAAGGTGCTAACCTGACTTCACCTTTGCACTATATTATAACTTTGTACCCATATCTCTATGTGATTTTCAGACTAGGGATAGTGACAAATAGTGTCTTCAAAATATATGGCTAAACAAATCTCTTTGTTAAAAATCACTCTTTCGAGCCGATTCCCATATCATTSAAGTTGGCGTGTTCAAGATAGTTCATCTCTGAATCTATCACACTTGACACTTTAAAAGAGTGACCAACCCGTCGAGAGTTAAGTTTGAAAAACATAAATGACAAGTCTCCTTGTCTGTATCTTTCTCAAGTCTACCTCTCATATCATTCAAGCTGACGTGCTTATCAATGGCTTGTCTCTAAGTCCATGACACTTTAACACTTTCAAAGTGATAAACTCATCAAGAAGTGTGCTTGGTCTTATAAAACATGAATGAAATAGTGGAACATTGTTATTGCGAAACAACGTCCACTTTCATTCGGTTTAACATTTCACCGTTTACCCTACACCCGAACTAAAGGAATTAGCTACTCATTACGGAAAGTAAAGACATGAATGTAAATAACAGAGAGTAAAGACGAAAATTAAATGACGATAAAAGTAAATAAATAAATAACTGATAATGTTATAGCACCTCATGACGAAGAACAATATTTAAAGAAAAACTTAAAAGCTTGCATAATCATAAAGCTACTAAAAGCTTGAGAGTGTTTACGGAACAAAAGAAGAGAAATTGTTCAGGGAAAAAGATGATTCTACAAAGGCACCCATGGTCCCCTTTTATACACACAAGCATAGACTAAAAGACAAAAACTTTGGAAATGGAAATGTTCATTATGAAGGGACATAAAAGAAGATATCAACTCCATCACCAAACGTCATCCAAAAAGTCTTCCGAAGGTCCTTTCACCAGCTGTTCGAGGAAAAAATCGATGATTCTTTAAGCGGAGATTTCCCTCCTTGACCATGGCTGAACTATTAAGCACTTCTCCAAAAAGCTGCACCGGGTCAGGTCAATGCTGCTGGAATGCTGCAGCATCATAGTGCAGTATTTGTTAGTCAAATATGTCATCTACCCCTAAATTGTTGTAAAAATAAATCCATCACCACATTTAGCTCCAAACATAATAAATGGAAAATAAGGAAGTGAAAATGACTTAAGGTTGGGATAAACTAGAAGAATCTACCTAAGAAAAGAAGGAAATGGGTACTTTAAGCATGCAATAAAACATGCTTATCACACCCCCAAACTTAAAGTGTTGCTTGTCCCCAAGCAACCAAATGAAAAAAAAAAGACTCAATATAGTGAAATACACAAGATTAAGGCAGTAAGTGCACACACAAAACAAAGCATATCATTATTAACATCATAGCCTTTCATAAATTTTTAGCAAACCATTCAGAACCTACTTCTTATGTATGACCATATGCTAGCACTAGTCTTCTCTTTAATGAACTCAACACCCTCTTTTGCTAGGGTCAATAGGACTTGTTTAAGGTTTTCCTCTCTTTGGCTATTTTATTTTCTCACTTTGCCTTTTTCATTTATGCTTCAACATTCAATTCTTTTTTTAAAATTTTGGCACTTTGTGCTCTTTATGATGAAAGCATGCACGTTGCCCCTATGGGACATTTTTGTGCTTCAAAGAAAATCCCACAAAGGCTTCTTATTAGAGCTTTGCTCTTTTGTATTGAAGTTGTGGCCTTTGTGGTATACCTTCCCCCAAACTTGGAACTTTGACAATGCCCTCATTGGCTATGTTGGGTGGATAGTGTGTATAAGGCTACAAGTGGCTATTTTGAGAGTTATAAATGAAGAATGGCCTAAATCATATCCATTTGTGCATTGGTGTGTGAGTGGAATTTTGCTTCAAGAAAAGACACATGCTAGTTCTAGCAAGAACATAATTAGTAGGTGAATGGGTATTTACCCTCAAATTTATTTAGGCTATGATATCAAGAATTATAAGCAATGATCATGTAATCAAGTATGAAAATAAAACTAAAAATTAAGAAAACTATCCCAAGACTCAAATAAAAATAAAATTTGGAAGCTAAAGATGGAGGAATGAACTTGTCCTACTCCAAGGGAGTAGGCTGTGTGGCATGAGGTTCCATGACTGCATCCATGGCTGCTTCTTTGAGTTGTTGGTTCTCTTCAACCTCCTGTTATCCTCTTTTAGGCTCTTCAGCCTCTTCCCCATCTTCTTCACCTTCTTGCTCACCATCTCTTCCATTTTCTGCTTCATTTCCTTCATCTCACTCCACCCCTGCCTCTGCCCTTTTTGAATCTGCTTCCTCACTTCACCTTTCAGCTCATCCATTTTCTCCAAAGTCTCAGACCTCTACTTCAACATGCTGTCTAACAGGTGGTTGTTTAGAGACAACAGGTCCTGAATCATGCCCATCAAGTCCACAGGTCCCATACTTCTGCTTGTCCTCTCCCTTAGTCTTGACACAGCGTTCAAGTCTATAATAGACCTCTCTGCTCCTTCTTTGATGTTGACATCTTCTTTGAAAACGGGCACTCCCACACCTTTTATCAACCTGTCAATGACGCACGGGAGATACGACTTCCCTCGGGTCCTGTTAGCACAGTACACAATAGCTTTGAGTAATATCTCACCAACATTGATTGTTTTCCCCTTCAAAATGCAATACAACAAGACCATCCTTTCAACATTTAAGGAACTGTCATGGGTTGTAGGGTGTAGTGAATGCTTCACAAAATTGACCCATACATTAGTATTTGGGGTCAAATTTGCATCTTTGAAGACCCTAAGAGAAAAGTTTGAATGATGCTCCCATGTGGTTCCTGGTCTGGCTACTGCTTCACAAATTTTATTTAGCTTGGCCTCAGAGGCAGTGTGCTTTAGAGTTTCAAAATCTGAGTTGAATTATGTGGTGAGTCCTAAGACATTGTTCAATGTCTCATCATCAAAATACAAGCATACTCCTCTAACCATAATCATACAGGAATTGCTACCTGCAACCTCAGTATAGAACTCTCTAATGAGTGAAAGATTGTAAGATCAATGTACCTCACAAAAAGTTTGCCATACCAAGCTATCAATTACCTCTTTGATGAATCTATGATCGAAACCTTAGTTGGGCCAAGCAGTCTTGTTTTTGAACTTCTTAAATAGATCTTTGCCTTTGACAGAACTAAAACCCCCTAAAGGTAACATGGACCTTTCTGTGATTGCTGGAGTGGAGGAAGTGGCAGCAGGATGCTGTTTGGATGTTGTAGCATTCTGTGACTGTCTTGTGGTTCTTCTATGAGAGTCTTCCAAGGATACTATTTTGCCTTTGGCAACAACAACCACTTTCTTCTTGTTGAGGGTAGGACCAGTTGATTTGGAGGTTTTCTTGGCAGACTTCTTTCCCAAATCCATCCTCTTATTAGAGGAAGGCTCCTTTTAAGTGGGACTAGGAGAGGCCAAAGTCTCAACAGCCTCTAATAATGCATCCATAGAGGTCTGTTCTTCAGTCCTTTTCTTAGAAGGGTCTACCCCAATTTTGGCCAAGATATCATCAATGACCTCAAAGTCTTTGCTTTGAGGTGCGGCCTCAACATGTTCTTGAATGGGGGCATGAATGGTCTCATCATTTCAAGGAAGCAAATAGAACCTTCCTACATCCATTGCCTTAGTGGCATCATCCTCTGACTCATAGGTTACATATTCTTCCATAATAATAGTAGGGTTGAATATTACCTCTATGTCATGCTCTTGGTCCATTTCATCAACTGGTAGTTCATTAAGGTCAGTGATTTGAACCCTTCTCTGGCTTGGTTCTTGCACAGGGGCTTCAGCCATGGTGGAAGATGAAAGGGCCATTGACTATACAGGGGTAGACACAGCCTCTTCTTCACTCAATGATAGGGATGAACTATTTTCACTTAGTTCCAACAACTATGGTTCTTCATTTGATGGCCTAACAGCAGCCCTTTGACGGTTGCTTCTTCGAACAGGTGTCCTTGCTGATGGTTGGTCTTGAACAGCTGTTCTGTTGACTCTAGCCATGGTGGAGAAGGTAAAGGAAAATGGAGAATAAAGATGGAGGGAGTGGTGTATGACAGAAGGCTACGGTGATGGTGGTGATTGTGGTTGATTGAGAGAGTGATGGGGAGAGTAATGGAGGGAAAATTTTGGGGGTGATTGAAAGGTCGGTTTAAGAAACAAAGAGATGATGGTTAATGATGGATTAGAGGGACTTAGTGGGTTAAGAGAAGTGGTGGTCGGCGGTTTCTTCCCATAAGTACAAGGCAATTAAAAAATTTCAAAAGCCCTCTTTTTATGAGACAACACCCTTGAACCCCAAGCTTTCAATAAGTGACATTTTGACCCCAACTTTTCACTAAGTGACATGATTAACCTTTGACTGAAATGTTGGGTTTAAGGGTACAAATGGTGATGTCATGTACCTTGTACTCTTTTTGTACTACCTGAAGACCACTCCTTTGTTTTCTTCCTTCACCCCTCTCCTTCCTTTTTTTTTTAAAATAATTCAGGCGCCAAATCTCTCCCAAACACCAACAATAATAATCCGTTTCAAGAAAAATTTAAAAATAAAGCCCAACCAAATTTCACTCATTTCACAAATCTGCAGGCCTGGAATGCTACAATATTTTGAGCAGTTCACCAACTTTTATCCGAAATCACAAAATACCTTTCAAAGTTAAAAACACAAACATCCTATGAAATAAAAACTTATTTACAAACAAAGGTGGACTTTTAAGAATTCCAAAGGGGTTTTATGAGATTTTTAGCAGAGAGCAGCACAACTCTCAGAGTGCTGTTCTGAGACTACTGCCGGATCATGGTACACTTTTACCCTTTGGCCATTTACCTTGAAAATAGAGTTATCTTCCGGGTTTACCAAGTCCACTGCTCCATAAGGGTACACTTTAAAAACAAGAAAAGGCCCAGACCATCTAGACTTAAGTTTTCCAGGGAATAACTTCAGTCTAGAATTAAACAAAAGAACATGTTGGCCTTCTCTCAAGTCTCCGTGTTGTATTCTCTTGTCATGCCAAATTTTTGTTTTCTCTATATTGAGCTTGGCATTTTCATAGGACAACAACCTATGTTCATCTAGTTCACAGAGTTGTAGCTTCCTTTTCAAACCAGCATCTTTTAAAGAAAATTTTAATTCTTTTATGGCCCAATATGCTTTATGTTCAAGCTCTAACGGAAGATGGCAAGCCTTGCCATAGACTAGCTTGTATGGGGACATACCAATTGGTGTTTTGAAAGCGGTTCTATATGCCTATAAAGCATCGTCTAGCTTAAATGCCCAATCCTTCCTGTTAGGCTTGACAACCTTTTCCAAAATATTTTTTATTTCTCTGTTAGACAACTCTGCTAAGCCATTTGTCTGTGGGTGATATGATGTGGCTATTTTATGGTTAACATTGTATTTTGCAAGAACTCCACTTAACAAATTATTTATAAAGTGGGTACCCTCATCACTTATTAAGGCTCTGGGGGTACCAAACCATGTAAAAATTTGCTTTTGAATGAACTTCACCACAGTCTTGGCATTATTTGAATTACATGCCACAGCTTCTACCCATTTTGAGACATAAACTATAGCAACCAATATGTATTGACAGTTATTTGATGGGGGAAAAGGACCCATAAAATCTATTCCCCAAACATCAAATGACTCAACTTCCAGGATCCCATGTAGTGGCATTTCATTCTTTTAGAAATGGAACCACTCCTTTGGCATTCATTGCACCTTTGTGCAAAGTTATGGGAATCCTTGATGAGAGTTGCCCAATAGAAACCAGACTGTAGGACCTTGGCAACAATTCTCTGTCCTCCAAAATGTCCTCCATAAGGAGCTTGGTGACATTGATACAACACTTTTGGCACCTCAGACTCTGGAATGCACCTCCTCAAAAGTTGATATGCACCAAGTTTAAATAAAAAGAGGTCATCCCAAAAATAAGATTTGACATCATGAAAAAATTTCTTAAGCATGTGGCTTGTGTATTCAGATGGTTTGATGCCACAAGCTAAGAAATTTGCTATATCTACAAACCAAGGTGCCTTCTGTTGTTGCACCATTAAAATTCTCTCATCAGGGAAGGTCTCTATAATGTCACCTCCTCCTATCTCAGGTTTCTCTAACCTAGATAAATGGTCTACTACCTGATTTTCCACACCCTTCCTATCACGTATTTTCAAATCAAATTTCTGCAATAACAACACCTACCTTATCAACCTAGGCTTTGCATCTTTCATTGAAATCAAATATTTAATGGCTGCATGATCAGTATGCACAATCACTTTAGTCCCCATCAAGTATGATCTAAATCTCTCAAATGCAAACACTACGGCCAATAATTCATTTTTCATGGTGGTGTAGTTTATCTGTGTTTCATTCAAAATCTTACTTGCGTAATAAATTAAATGAAACACCTTCTCTCTTCTCTGATCTAAAACAGCACCAACCGCTCAATCGCTTGCATCACACATAATTTCGAAAGGTTTGTTCCAGTCTGGAGCAACTACTATTGGTGAAGTAATCAGGGCTTTCTTCAAAGTTTTGAATGCATTTCTACATTCATCATTAAAATCAAATTTCTGGTCATGTTGTAGGAGTAAACATAAAGGTTTTGATATTTTTGAAAAATCCTTTATGAACCTTCTGTAAAATCCCGCATGACCCAAAAAACTCCTGATTCCTTTAATAGTGGTGGGTTCTGGTAGTTTTTCAATAACTTTGAGTTTTGCTTTAACTACCTCCACTCCTTTTTTAGAGATTAAGTTCCCCATAACAAATCCTTCCTTAATAATGAAGTGATATTTCTCCCAGCTGAGGACCAAATCAGTTTCCTCACACCTCTCAAGACTCTTTTTTAAATTGTCCAAACAATTGTCAAAAGATGAACCATATACAGAAAAATCATCCATAAAGATTTCAATGGATTTTTCAAGCATATCTAAAAATAAGGACATCATACTCTTCTGGAAGGTGGTAGGAGCATTACACAGTCCAAATGGCATTCTTATGAAAGCAAAAGTGCCATAAGGACAAGTGAAGGTGGTTTTTTCCAGGTCCTCAGGAGAAATAGCTATCTGATTGTAACCTGAACAGTCATCTAAGAAACAGTAGTTCTTTTTACCGGCTAATCTATCCAACATTTGATCAATGAAAGGTAGCGGAAAATGGTCTTTGTGAGTAGCCTTGTTTAGCCTCCTATAGTACATGCATATTCTCCAACTGGAGACAACTCTGGTAGGGATAAGTTCATTTTTCTCATTTGTGATGACTGTTGTCACACCCCGCTAAAGCAGAAACACGAGATGTAACAGGTACGCGAGTCACAACAACAGTTAATAAAAACACCATTCAAGTTTTACTAAAAGAAATCAAGTGTAACACCCATAACCAAATTGGGATAAAATACTTCTTTTACAAAATCTTCAATTGCGAACTTAATCGGTCTCGCCACAAGTATGCTCCCAAAATACTTCATTTCTTACTTATTACCTGAAAAGCATGTAACATAAAACAACGTCAACTACAAAGAGTTGGTGAGTTTACGGGTTTTCACATGCACAAAATATTACAATGCAGAAATCATTTATTTGCAAACTTATACGTAAACTTTTGCACTTAATAAATGTAAATCTACCACGATGCTTAACTTGAGACGCTACTGAGCTTTACCAGACAAATGTGCCCCACTATTTTATGAACGACCATAAGTAGCCCATACACTTACTTAGGTCCCACAGTTCGTAGTAGTTCTAATTCAGCGGTGGTCCAAATTCCACATGATTAGACTAAGAAACCATAGATAATGTGCACCCCTTTCTGGGTGGGACTATCAACACAATAGAGGCTATCCACAATACCACGTCCTTGGGACGTGCCCGAGTTAACATGTAGCGTTTACGGACGGGGACTTTATTTGGAAACATACTCCCAAGCACATCAATTTAGCATTTATTTCATAGTGCAAAAACAGTCAATATTTCATGACATAATAAACTTGACTAAACAGTTCTTTAGTCCGATGGTTTCAAACAAAGCTTGATTAAACAGTTCTTTAGTCTAATGGTTAAATAAATAAACAGTGTAGTTTGCTTAATCTCATGCTTTTCTGTGGAGTCCAAATTTACTGATCAATCATCATTTCTTCATAACAACAATGGCAGATTTGGATATATCTTCAAGAACACATTAAGAACAATGAGAGAGAAAGTCAAACTCTCAATTCTGGTCAAATCCTTGGATTCTTTTTGGTTTTAATCTTTTTATAATAAACATCCTCGGAAACAGGTTTTTGATTAAATTTGTTTTGAACTTCTGAAGGTAAATCAGAATCCTCAGTCATTTTGTTTTTAACAATAAAATCTTCATGACTGGGTAAATTATTTGTAATATCAAACTTATCAACCTCATCATCTAGACAAACATCKGAATTTGAAAAATTAATTTCTTCATTAAACGCATTTATTTCTTCTGAGTCATTAGTTTCACTCAAAGATTTAGCACATGAGAAATACTCAGACTCAGCTTGTTCCGTTTTCTTAATAGAGTTTT